AGCCATGGTTGTCTAAGAACATTTGCTAAGGGATCTTAGCAGAGGCTTTTGTGGAAGTCCAGCTGGAGCAAGGATGAGCTGTGTTTTCATAGCATTCTGCAGATGAACGTGGAAACCTTGTTTTGCAGATGGAGAGAGTCATGTGATGGTCATGCTGGCCTGGCCTTACCTCAGCATTTCTACCCATCATGGTTTGATCTCAGCTGGGTATCATCCTTGCCTTTCCCCAAAAGCAGCCGATAGCACCAGAGGACCCTGCTACATCTGGGGGCTTGATTTGTCCCTAGAAAACCCATCACAGTGCCTCCCCAGCTGGTTTTTTTTGTCCATTTGCCTTCCCATCTTAGTCACCATTCCCAACTATTTGTGTGGTACTTTAATGGCATTGAGTGCTCCAAGCTTTCAGGGATACCCTCTCACTTCCAGGAGGCCAGAGGCACCTCTCCGCTTGGCCCAAGGCAGCCTGCTGAAGTGACAGCCCCTGAACGTAGCCTTTCAGGCAGCCCCCAAGGGCTGGCAGTCCTGCAACTCTCCTGGGCCGCCTCTCTGGCCTGGGAGGGCTCCTTCTCCCCTGCCTTCCTGAAGGATGCCCATCACTTCCAGCCACCTCTGCTCTGCTCTGCGGCTGTCCCATGCTTTTCAATCTGTGATGCTTTCTTAGAGCTGATGAAGCTCTCGGCATGGTCCCCTGGTCATAAATGGGGTACTGCGTCCAGTTCTGGGCTCCCCAGTTCAAGAAAGATGAGGAACTACTGGAAGGAGTCCAGAGGAGGGCTACAAAGATGATTAGGGGACTGGAGCATCTCTCCTATGAGGAAAGGCTGAGGGAGCTGGGCTTGTTTAGCCTGAAGAAGACTGAGAGGGGGTCTAATCAACATGTACAAATATCTCAAGGGTGGATGTCATGAGGACAGAGCCAGACAGAGCACGAAATAGGCTGCCCAGGGGGGTTATGGAGTCTCCTTCTTTGGAGATATTCAAAGCCCGCCTGGACGATGTCCTGTGCAACCTGCTCTAGGTGACCCTGCTTTAGCAAGGGGGTTGGACTGGGTGATCTTCCCAGGTCTCTTCCAACCCCTGCCATTCTGTGATTCCCCACCACAGCCACCACCTGCAGTTTCTTGCTGACCAGCTTCTTCCTTTTCCTGCATTTCCCCTGGAGGGTTGTTCAAGTGGAATTCTCCGATCTCGCCCTGCAGCCTGTTCCTTTGAGTACCTCTACCCTTAGTGCAGCTTACTTGTTTGGTTTGGCCTTCTGGTTTTTCTATAGATTCATTTATGCATTTGTTCTCAGGCTGTTTCAATGTGCCTTCTTTATCTAGGGGCTTGGCTACGCAGCCTGCTCTTCACTTTTTCCTGCCTTCATGTTACATTGACTTTTTGCCTGCCACATGAGCTACCCAGAACTGTGCTCTTCCACACAGGGTGTCTTTTCCCTGTCTTTGGGGTCAAAATTTTCCTGTGTTTTTCATCATAACTACCAAAGCCTGGTTATCTTTTAGCTTAATCAGAGCCTAGTAGAGTCATCATCTCATTCAGCTGCTTCCTCACCTCTTCTTAAGCTGAGACCTTCCTGCCTGCCAAGCACCAGCTGAGATTTGCTTCATGATATGGGAGATGTTGGGGGGCGTGGGGGCTCTGTCCCCGGCGCCTGGGTGGGACAGGCGGATGCTGCCGGTCATACCCCACCCCACCCCCCATGACAAGGAGCCAGGGGTGGCTTTGTCCTGAGCAGGCTGCGTAGGTCTGCACCGACCCCCAGCGGCTGTGGCACAAGCAGCCGTTCCGCGGGCTGTCCCCGCATCCAGCCCGGCGTCCGGGCCCCGGGAACGGTGCCACATCACGTGCTGGTCCCTGCTCTGCCACTCGGGTACCTCGCCTTGTGAAGGGCTGGGGTGGCCCAGGATTTATGTGCTCCCGTCTCAATGCCACAAGCCTCAATTTTCAAAATCCTTCTGAGCCCAGGCTGCCAGGACTGCATGCATTACCAGCTGCTGCCTTCCTCTCTGGGTGTGTTGAGGTGATCTGATGTGTACGCTGCCACAGCTTTGCACCAAGTGCCCCTTATCACACTGTTTCCAAGATATTTTCACTCCTCCTCTGAGTTGCTGCCAGCAGAAGTAGCAGCACTGGCTCTCTGTCCCATCAGGTGTGTGATGCCACACATGGCTGTGTTTGAAATTAAGGTTTTTCAATAGATACCATTTTCTCAGCAGCCCAGCCTGCACCCCAAAGGATGTGGTCACCATTGCTTAGCTCCATCCCGTCCATTCTATATTTTGACAAGTGGTTACCTGGATTGACTCTGTATGTTCATTCCTTTTTTTTCCTAATTGGCATACCCAATTCCTTGCTTCTCCACTTTGACGTCACCTTCCAGCACCTTGCTCACTTAGGCCTTGTTGTGATGTTAAGAGTACCCTTCAGCACCCTGTGATCCTTCACTCAGAAGCTGTTCCCAGTTTGTTTTTTTAAATTGCCTTCCTGGAGGATGCCCATCAGTTCCAGCCACCTCTTGCCCACTGCTCTGCGGCCAGGCTCTGGGAGCCACAAGGGTTTTTTTGAGCAGTTGAAGCTCTCAGCATGGTCTCCAGGCCACTGCCAGCCTTTCCGCAACACAGCTGCTGCTTGCCATTCCTCGCTGACAGACTTCCCCTGCTTCCCACAGTTTGCGCTCAAGGATGTTCAATGCCCCTGATGGATTTCTCTGGCTCTCTCCCAACAACCTTTGAGTGTGTTGTGGTCACTGCCCTAGACAGACTCATTTGTGATTCACAGTGGGGTGCAGGTGTCCTAGGCAGCTCGGGGCTAAGCTGAGGATGCTTTTCCTCCCAGGTCTGTAGGCTGCAGTGGACAGGGAGCAGCTAACTGCCTGTGAGCCCTGGTGTCCCCCTCTTCAGTGTCCTTCCATTTTTGTCTCTGATCACAGCTGCATCCACAGGTGAACTCTGGCACCCTGGTTCCAGCATCATGTTTTAGAGAAGCACAAAAGTATCTGATCTTGCTCTGGTTGCTTATTTTTATGCGCCTCATTAAAACAGCTCTTTCCTGCTTCCCACACAAATGTTGTCACCTCCTGTCCTAGCCTCTAGTGAAGACTCAGGGGTTTTATGATTCCAGCCCAGGGATGAATCATCTTGTCTTTAGCCCCACTGTCTGGTAGCTGCCTCCAGTACCTCTCTCCTGCCTCTGTGACATGGGTACCTCTGGGGTCACCCCCCAGGTGCCTCCATGGACAGTCTTCCCTACAGCCTGCAAGACACTGCCCTGATACGAAGTGAGAGCTGGCGCTTCTGTGTCCAGCAGGAAAGATCTAGGTTTTGTTTCTGTGTTGGCTTCCCCTCTCATGCCTCACAGTCCTCTCCACTCAGCTTGAGTTGCAAGGTCTCCTTTCCTTTTTGGAGACAGATTGCTTTGGCTGCTTTGTTGCCCTGCTCTTTCAGCCCTTCTGGAGATTGCTGTTTTTTTCTGGACTAGAGGAATGATCCTCAGCCAAACTCTTCACCTTGTTGCACCTCTCTAACCCAGAGCTCTGCTCCATTCATACAGGCCCTCCACCTGCCTGCATAAACAAGCCCACGCTCACCGTGGGACACTTAAGCTGAGCCTGGATGCTGGTTCAGTGTTTCCATTTGCTATGGAGGGATTCATACGCTCCTGGTGCCACCCAAGATGCCCTGGGGCATCAGATACAACAGGGGACTGATGGCCACCCTGTCAGCAGCTGGAGGTGAGGTGGGCTGCACTTCTCCTGGCACTCAGTGACTGTGACTGGCACTTGTCCTCTCACTCAGGTCTATGCCTGGTTTTGCTCTTAGCACATCTCCAGAGATCTGAGTGCCTCCCCATCTGCCAAAATACATATATTTACAACGAGCACTTCGAAGTCAGAGTGGAAATGTACTGGAACACCTTCCCTGCATAGCTAAGACCTAAATCAACTAGAAACAAGCTCAGAGTTAAATGCAGCAAGCTTCTCGGGCTGATAGAAGAGCATTTGCAGAGAGATGTTCACCAGGGCAAGGCCTTCAGTAGCCTGGTTTATCTGCACAGGAGTTGTGCCCCGACCAGCTCTACCAGTGCAGACTGGCACGGCTGGCTGCCAGCTCCTGGAGGTGCATGGGTTTCCCTGCCTGCTCCACCAGCGAGGCCCCGGTGAGGAGGGGTCCCGGTCCCGACCGGTGGGCAGCCAGCAGGCAGGACCCTTGCCAGCCCAGGCTTCCCTGGGTGCCCGATGTTTTTCTGGGGCCCCTCCTGGGCTGCGGCAGGGAGCACCCATGGGCCTGGGAGGGTCTGGGTCTGGGGAGCGCCGGACAGAGGGGCCGGGGCAGGAGGAGGCCGTGGGGCAGGAGGCTGGCTGGAGGCGAGGGGGTGTGCAGGATGTGGCCTCAGGGCGGGAGCTGATGGGGAGGGAGCGGG